GTCTCTACTGCGTCACTTTGGACGCGCGTTCACGACAGTATCATGACGCGAGCATGTGGCGGCGCTGACCCAGATCCAGCGTGATGACGTCATTACGCCGGATCTGGGTCAGCGCCGCCACACGCTCGCATCATGATACTGTCGTGAACGCACGTCCACAAGTGACGGGTCAGAGAGCCCTCATATTTCATCAAAAATATCTTAAATTGTGTTCCGAAGATGAACGAAGGTCTTACGGGTTTCGAACAACACGAGGGTGAGTACTTAATAACAGAATTTTCATTTCTGGGTGAACTAACCCTTTAAAGTCTGCTAAATTGGAACAACTATCTTAATTTTGTACTTTAATTGGGCGGAAGGAGTGCTGAATTCCAACTAAAGATATACTGAAGTATATTTGATTGTGCTAAAGTGGAACTATTGCAAGTATACTTTAGGCACATTTAAATATCTTCCATTTAAAGACTGATATTATTCAAATATCAAACAATCCTCATCAACAGTGACATTAAAACACATTTTAGGCTTAATATTAAGAAATGTGCATTGTGCACAAGTACTCCAAATAAAGTTTAATTATAATTTTTATATTAGTAAGTCTTGAGTATGTCAGTATATATGTTAATAGATCTGAACTATATTTAGTATGAAATAAATATATTATTATATTAATATATTATAATATATATGACTTTTTATTACCACATATGCAGTTTTTGATTTAACTTGTTCAATAAATGTTAGAGGACAGGACACTCGCTTCATCATCAGTGCAAGTTCCCAGAAATGTCTATAACATCAGATACATATTGTAGTTTCAAATTTACATTAGCAGAAGTGGTCACAGATAAAAAAATATATATATACAAAACTATGATAATGCAAGTGTACTTATTACAAATGAGCAACATCAGACATCTGCACTGACGCCACTCAAATCACTTGGAAATGGTTCATATCAGATATTCATAAGGCCAGTTCACCAGAGCACTTGTACAGGAATCATGTGTCATCATGTTCTCGTAAATTTTGGATGTTCTTTCCCTGTGAGAGTAAAAGGAAATATTAATTAGTATATTGGTATTGGTTAAGTATTTATATACTGTAGCTGCTACAACATTTCTCACGAATATTCCAATAGATAAAAATATATAATGAAAATAAAACTCAGAAACATAACGACTAACAGAAACATGATTCTGCTCTTTTCTTACCCCAAACTTTACGGTTCAAAGTTTGTCCCAGTAAGTACAGCAGCGCCAGCACAAGCATGTTAAAAAAGAAGAAGACGGTCAATCCTGAGCTGCTGAACAGCCCCAGTATAGGGTAAACCCAGATTCCCACTGTTAGATACACCCAAACCACCCTAAAAGAGAGGGAGAAAATGTATTAGTGTTGTTGGCAAATAGTTGCATAACTAGCACAGTCACCCACATAATCATAACTCACCATCCTAAGTAAGCAACACTAACAAATCTCAAAGCAGCCAAACCATTCTTTGTTTTAGGATAGATATGTGGCTCCACCAGGATCTTACCAAACACGATCGGGAGAACAAGAGTGTGCTATGAGTCGAGCATACAAAGTCATCGTATTTGTCAGTCTATGGATCAAAAGGTCAATTTAATTGTGAAGGAAGATTATTTAATTGACATTTTTTAGAATGTATCATACATTATAGGGAACAAACCATAGCATGATTCATCCATGGAGGGAAGAGGCTGTCCATTGAAGCTGGATAGACCAGTTGTCGATCATAGGCAAAAATCAGCCAAAACAGCAGAACTACAAACTTAAAACAATTAAAATAAATAAATAACAATAATAATAATAATATGCACACAATTGTAAAGTAACTACTTATTTAAGCTTGAAGAACTGATATGTATTCAATCTTATGCATTTGTATGCATTAAAAAAGCGTTATTACCATTAACCACCAGTAGATGGTGCACATTCATTGGTTACATTTCTATGCATTTCTGTTAAATCTAAATGTCTATCTAGAAGAAGCAGCATTTAATGGGTTCTGATGGACTCTATTCAACAACAGTAAGTGAAGATCTAGATCCACTTATCTTTGATTCTTGTAATATCCAATTTTTTTTATACTGCTGTAATTATTAACAAAAAAGTACCAAACAATCACCATTGGAGTACCATGGCAGCACTATGGTATTCTTTTAAAGACCTTTAAGTGCTGCCACAGTACTTCGTATTGAATTTAATTTGAGTATACAAATTTGATTTGACCATTTATGGTTTGGTCTATTCTATTTTAAATCGGAAAGCATAATAGGAATAATGATCCTGACAACAATATTGAGCAACACTTGTTCAGACCCCTGAACTGTACACTGTAAACGGTACAAAAGCTGTCACTGAGGCGGTACACTTTTTAAAGGTAGACTACTAAAATGTAGACTTCATGTAGTAATTTTTACTCGATAGATATTAGGCTAATATGTACCTTTAAGGTACTAATATGTCTTTTAGGAGTAAATATAAAAGTGTACTTTTTGAAAAGGCACCGCCCCATGAACCATGGACCTTTTTTTCTGAGATTGTATACTAATTTAATCTCTAGATCACTGGCACAACGCACTCTTCACACGTGAAGCATATTAAATACATGAAACAGTAGTAGCCTACATCAGTTTTGGCACCTGTTTTCTATTATAGCAGGGAAAAAAATATAATAAGTAATATCCAAACTCACCATTCCCACTGGAAACGCAAAGACAGAAAAGAGCAAGTCCTTGCAAAGGCAGAGAAGTGACATTTTGGAGCCTTTCCCCACAGGCGGAAGGTCATTCACAGATGCCAGTCCAAAAAACACTATCTGTAAGAACTGAGAAATGAAACATTTACAAGCAACCTCCAGTAGTGTGTCTATCAGAACAATTTTAAAAGTGTCCTCACAAGGGTGGCACCTTACCAGGTTTAAAAATGTGAGGTATTTCCAGGGTCCGCCATAGACAAACATCCCAGGTGGTATATCTGAATTTCGTTTTGCATAAACAGACTGAATGACAAAGATATACCAGCTGCATGTCAACATGCCAGTCATGTCTACAGTCTTACAGTCTGTTGCCGAAATACAAATTTCATCACCATGATCTGAGTTCTCCACTCAGCTGCAGGAGACTTTAAGAAATGCCAGGGGAACTAATTCGGATTTATGAGAATAAAGCTCATATTGAGAGATTAGCCTAAATTGACATGGTGTTATAAAAGTGCAAATACTCACAAAGGGCCTTGTGTTTTTCTGGTGTTGTCATACATACAAAGTATTTTTTCTTCATTCCAAGCACAATTATGTAACACATTCTTAAATATCACAGGCTAAAAAAAATATGTTCTGTAATTTGGTTTAATTTAAGCATAACTGCATGGCTTACATTTTTGCAGCATGACTCATAACCTGCCCAAGTAGCTAATTAAAGATCAGTGATGTCACATAAACTACAAAGTACTAACTACAAAGTATTTTACCTGTTGTAACATGGTCTGTAAGCCCCCATTTACTGTCATCATTTATCACGTTTCACCTGTTTTTTTTCTGTTCCACAGAAGAAAGTCACATAGGTTTGGAATGACGTGAAGGTAAATGATAACAGAATTTTTATTTTTGAGTCAACTATCAATTTGTTCCCATATAAAACACCCATAATGGTACCAAAGGGGAATGATTACAGATTTAACAAAAAACAGACATTGTGTAAACTATTCTTTCATCAGAAGATTAATAAACACATTTTTTTTCCGTCTGTGTGATAAATTCCTTCCCACTGAGCATTTTGTTTCGTAACTGTTCCGACAAAAGCAAATAACACACGTTTGAGATATTAATATTTGAAGAACATGTCTTATGTTCTAGTTTTATTTTAGTTTATATCATTGTAGTATTACTCATTTTGCTCTAAACATGATTCAAACATACAACTTTTGGAACAGGTGGGAACATATTGGTTCTCTACACATGTAGCTTATGAGAACCTCCATCAAAAACAGATGCAAGCCTTAATACACTGACAAATGTTGACAAACATATTTCACAATTTAAATAAATCAGTATTTCATCCTAAATTCATAATATTGCACATTTTTGTATCGATTTGGTATATTGAGAAACTCCTTTTAGTAAAACGTGCTGCATGTTATCCTCATTAATATGTTACGTGGACTCAAAAACATGCTTTAGGAGTTTCCATTGTGCATCAACACCAACAGAATGTATTTTACAGTGCAATACCTTTGGTTTACACAATCAACTGATGGACTAGTAAACACTTAAATTAATCTTCTAGTGGAATGTCCTTTTCTATTCTCTCGCCAGACCATATGACTGAACAATTTCGCATCCTGTGATCATTTTGCTCCAGCTCCACTTTGTTCCATGTTTTCCGTTTCCTGCTGCTCACTGCTTCAAGTTCACTACATAGAAAAATGTGTGGCCAGTTACTGATCCACTATGAAGTTCTTTCAGTGTTGGCTTTTAATATCAATGAAAAACATCTGGGCACAAAATACCAATATTAAATGAAAAAATACTTGGAGAAAAGTTGAATGCTGTATTGAAACACGAACAATAGTCTGACTCTGTTAACATGATGGAGCAGTATCAGAACGATATTGGAGACTTTCAGAAAACCTGCTCCTTGCTCCTGGCAATATCATGCAACTCCTCCCCCACTCCACATCGCTCACATGCTCTGTCTCTGGCAGCTCCATTTTTAAGGAACTCCTTGTTTTTGTTAGGTAAACAACTCTCTATTTACAGTATTTATAACAGATCATAATTTCTAGATATAGAACTCCCAATAACTACACTAGATTTAGAAATGTGTTTCACAGCTCTATTATTTATATACACACTAAGAAATACCTGTCCTATCAAAAGCTTATTCCAGCTGGTAAAGTTCCTGTCATGCAGATCATCTGCATAACTTGTTAAGCCCTGCAGGGATTTCCACTCTCTCAATATAGGCAGCACTCTTTGGTATAATCAGAAGTTATAAGACACTTCAATCCAAGTTTGTGCAGGTTCACAGTTATGAGGTAAGACTTTAAGAAAGAAAAGATCTGGCAAAATCGCTTCCCTCTTATTGTTCATCAGTGGAGCCCCTCTTCCAATGGGTTAATTCATGAGGCCTGTGAAAACACCAAATACAAATGCTTGAGTAATGTAAGGAAATGTGAATTTACATTTAAACATTGAACTTCAGTCTTTTGGATATTGTGCTTTCGGACATTGAAACTATGCGACAGACAATATTTTCATACATTTTGAAATTGTATGAAACAATCCTACAACATACTTCAAAACGGCTGTAGACCTTCCTCTCTTTACGCATTTGCTCCATCTTTTGTAGTAACATCTCCCGCTCTTCTGGTGTAGTCTTGGAGGACCAGGACCTTCCTGAATAACTTGAGAACAATTTATCTGCAGAGCTAACCTCAACCTTTTTGGCTTCATTGGGTGCAGCAAGAGTCTGCTTGGACAGGGAAGATCTGCTTTGGTTCTTTGCTGAAATTTGCTCTAAAAGAACTTTAGTGTCATCTCTAAGGTTGCTGCAAGAGATAACATTTGCAGTAGATGTCTGATGGGCAGACACAATCGATTTTGCATTCTCTGCAACAGAAGACTTATTTTCTGAATTACTGTGAACAGTCAAATGTGATTTTTCTGACACCTCGGCAATTTTAGTCACAGTGTTTTCTACCTCTGGTGTTGTTTGTTTAATTTTATCAACCCCGTTAGAGTCTATTGCTGTAGAAACTTCTATCTGAGGCCCTGCATCTATAGCTGAAGTATCATGACCCTGAGTTTGCTCCGTAATGGTGTCAGATTTCTGGCGCTCATCTGTTTTCTCAGGCTTTGAGTCTTTTTGACAGCTAGATTCCATAGGATTTGATGATAAGCTAGATTGTAATTGTGTTATTCCCTGAGTTGAGTTGATCTCATCCGAGAACAGGCAAGGTTCTGGTGAACCTTGAGGATGTGTTGAGCTCACCTCCATTGAATCAAGACTAGTTAAAGCACCATTGTCTGTGTCTTTTACTGTATGAGTTATACATGCTTGTGTTTGGTTTAGTTCCACTTGGCTATCACAAGGTGTAACAGTATCAGATTGTGAATGTTCAGCTGGGGAACTTAAGTCTGTGATAACTGCATTTTGAGATATGCTATTGTCTTTTTGAGTAATGTTAGCCTCTAGAATGGGTATTAGTTTGCTAAAGGCTTCGGATAAGTTATCATCTTTTTTCTCATTCACACAGTCAGATTTTTTTGCAGTGATGTCTTGAAGGGATTCATTTTCTGTTTTAATAGGATGTTTGGAAGTGTCTGTCTCCATTTTGGTGGGATTTTGGGAAAATCCACTTTCTGTTATAGTGAGCTGCTGGGACAAGTCAGTCTCTGTTGGAATGGACAGCTGGAAAGAGTCTGTGGCTGTTACAGTGTGTGTCTGGGAAGAGTCTGTCTCTTTTGCAGCGGGCTGCTGGGAGGAGTCTGTCTCTGTTGCAAAAGACTGCTGGAAGTAGTTTGTGGTTGTTGCAGCAGGCTGCTGGGAAGAGTCTGTGTCTGAAGAGTCTGTGACTCTAGCAGTGGGCTGTTGTGAAGAGTCTGTGTCTGTTACAGTGGAATGCTGAGAAGAGTCTGTGACTGTTGCTGTGGGCTCAGGGGAAGAATCTATTTCTGTTGCAGTGGACTTCTGGGAAGTGTCTGTGACTGCTGCAGAGGCCTCAGGGGAAGAATCTGTCTCTGTTGCAGAGGGCTGCTGGGAAGAGTCTGTGACTGTTGAAGTGGACTTCTGGGAAGTGTCTGTGACTGCTTCAGTGGGCTCAGGGGAAGAATCTGTTTCTGTTGCAGTGGATGTCTGGGAGGAGTCTGTGTCTGCTGCAGTGGGCTCTCGGGAAGAGTCTACCTCTGTTGCAATGGGCTGCTGGAAAGAGTCTGTGTCTTTTACAGTGGACTCTTGGGAAGAGTCTGTCTCTGTTGCAGCCGGCTGCTGGGAAGACTCTGTGCCTGCTGAAGTGGACTTTTGGGAGGAGTCTGTGTCCGCTGCAGTGGGCCCTCTGGAAGAGTCTATCTCTGCTGCAGTGGGCTGCTGGGAAGAGTCTGTGTCTGAAGAGTCTGTGACTGTTGCAGTGGGTTGCTGGGACAAGTCTGTGCCTGAAGAGTCTGTGACTGTTATAGTAGGCTGCTGGAAAGAGTCGGTGTCTGAAGAGTCTGTAACTATGAAGAATCTGTTTCTGTTGCAGTGGATGTCTGGGAGGAGTCTGTGTCTGCTGCAGTGGGCTCTCGGGAAGAGTCTACCTCTGTTGCAATGGGCTGCTGGAAAGAGTCTGTGTCTTTTACAGTGGACTCTTGGGAAGAGTCTGTCTCTGTTGCAGCCGGCTGCTGGGAAGACTCTGTGCCTGCTGAAGTGGACTTTTGGGAGGAGTCTGTGTCCGCTGCAGTGGGCCCTCTGGAAGAGTCTATCTCTGCTGCAGTGGGCTGCTGGGAAGAGTCTGTGTCTGAAGAGTCTGTGACTGTTGCAGTGGGTTGCTGGGACAAGTCTGTGCCTGAAGAGTCTGTGACTGTTATAGTAGGCTGCTGGAAAGAGTCGGTGTCTGAAGAGTCTGTAACTATTGCAGTGGGCTGCTGGGAAGAGTCTGTGTCTGAAGAGTCTGTGACTGTTACAGTGGGCCGTTGAGAAGAGTCTGTGTCTGAAGAGTCTGTGCCTGCTGAAGTGGACTTCTGGGAAGTGTCTGTGACTGCTGCAGTGGGCTCAGGGGAAGAATCTGTTTTTGTTGTAGTGGATGTTTGGGAGGAGTCTGTGTCTGCTGCAGTGGGCTCTCGGGAAGAGTCTACCTCTGTTGCAATGGGCTGCTGGAAAGAGTCTGTGTCTTTTACAGTGGACTCTTGGGAAGAGTCTGTCTCTGTTGCAGCGGGCTGCTGGGAAGAGTCTGTGCCTGCTGAAGTGGATTTCTGGGAGGAGTCTGTGTCTGCTGCAGTGGGCCCTCTGGAAGAGTCTATCTCTGCTGCAGTGGGCTGCTGGGAAGAGTCTGTGTCTGAAGAGTCTGTGACTGTTGCAGTGGGTTGCTGGGACGAGTCTGTGCCTGAAGAGTCTGTGACTGTTATAGTAGGCTGCTGGGAAGAGTCTGTGTCTGAAGAGTCAGTGACTGTTGCAGTGGGCTGCTGGAAACAGTCTGTGTCTGAAGAGTCTGTGACTGTTACAGTGGGCTGCTGAGAAGAGTCTGTGTCTGTTGAAGTGGACTTCTGGGAGGAGTCTTTGTCTGCTGCAGCCGGCTTCCTGGAAGAGCCTATCTCTTTTGCAGCGGGCTGCTGGGAAGAGTCTGTGACTGTTGCAGTGGGCTGCTGGGTAGAACCTTTGGTTGTGGCAGTGGGCTGTTGAGAAGAGCCTGCCCCCAATAAAGGTAATTGTTTGGAATGTTCTGTGGAAAGGACACTTTTTGTTGCAGTGTGGGACTGGGGAGTGTCTGCCTCGGATGCACTTAGCTCTTTGATGGTGTCTACCATTGATGCAGTGGACTGCTGAGAAGTGTCTGTCTCCATTGCGATAGGCTTTTGAGAAGAGTCTGTCTCCTTTGCAATGGGTTGCTGAGAAGAATCAGTGGCTGTTGCAGTGGGGTGTTGAGAAGAGTCTGTGGCTGTCGCAGTGGCCTGCTGGGAGGAGTCTGTCTCCATTGCACTGGAATGTTGTGAAGAGGCTTCAGCAGAAGCATTTGGCTGCATGAAGGGTTGTGTACCTGATGCAGTGGGTTTTAGGGAATGTTTACTTTTTTTTGCCACGTGGTGTTGCATAGAGTCTTCCACAGATGCAGCAGACAGCTGAGAAGAGTCCATCTCTGCTGCAGTGAGGTGTTCTGAAGTGTCTGCCCCCACTGCAGGGGGATGTTTGGAAAAGTCTGAGGATACTGGACAGTACTGTTGGGATGATTTATTTCTTGCTGTAGTAGGGTCTGTCTGCACTGCAGTGTGTTTTGCAGAGTATTCGCTTTCTGCTCCACTGGATTGTTGGCAATAGTCTGTCCTAGTTTTAATGGGGGGCTGAGAAGAGTCTTCTCCTGTCTCAGTAGGCTGTTGAAAAGAGGCTGCTTTAATTGTAGTGAAGTGATATGACGATTCACTTTCTGCTGCAGTTGGCTGTTGGAAAGAATCAGTTTCTGTTGTAATAGGGACGTTTTGTGAAGTTCCACATTCTGTAGCAGTGGGGTGCAGGGAAAAGTCTTTCCTCACTGCAGTAGGCTGTTGAAAACAGTCTGTTTTAGATGCAGGAGTGTGTTGAGAATGGTCTGCCTCTGTTGAAGTAGATTTTTGTAAGGGTTCACTTTCTGTGGTAGTGGGTGGTATGGAAGAGTCTGCTTCCATTAAAGTATGCTGTTGAGAAGAGTTTTTCTCTGTTGCAGAGTGGTGTTGGGAATGCACATTTTCTGCTGTAGATGGTTTAGCCCCTACTGCGGTGAAGTGTCTAGAAAAATCTGCCCCAGTTTCACTGAGGTGTTGAGAAGAGTCTGCCTTTATTGCAGTGGGGTGTTCGGTGGAACTAATTCCAGTTGTAGAAAATGCTGGGGAGGGAACTGTATCTTTGTGGTCATTCTTTGAAGGTACACAAGTATCTACAATTGCAAGGTTTGCTGCTGAATTAGAATCAAGAGGCAAAGTATCAGAACATGTGCTAGAAATATTGGGTAGGCTCTGTGAGTCTTTTGCAGATAGACTTCCCTCATTTGGAGTGGAGCATAGTGGTGACACACACTTTGTCTGTGGTAACTTTACAGGCAGACAACTCTCAGTCAGAAAGGCATGGGAGCGATCTGTTTCTTTAGGAATATGATATTGGTTGAGACCAGATTCTGTTAAGGTAGTATCTAATGCAACAGAATCTACTTGATTTTGTAAGGCACAGAGCGACTTTTGTGAAAAAATGTTTAAAATGGGGGGTGTCTGGTCTTTAGCTGTAGATACTGTTCTTGCCACTTCAACAGGTTTTAGAGCTTGATCAATGTCTTCCTTGAAATTTGTTAAAGTTGAGCCAGACTCTTTTGCAAGTTTTTTCTTAAATCTAATTTTTTCAGCATCAGTGGCTCTATGTAGGATGTCTTTACTCGATTCCTCACATTTGGTGTCTTTACAGGTTTCTTTGATCTCTGTTACTGTGGCAGGGGTATTTTTTGACTTGCGTGGAGTTTCTGGGGTCTTGAAAACAGGCCCTTTTTTATCTGCATTATTAGCTAAAGGTTTCTCTGGTAGAGTAAACTTTTGGGTGGCTTTCATCGGATTGCTCTGAGAAGCCTTTGCTGCTGCAAGCTTGCGTTTGGCTGCTAACTCTTTGAAATACCTCAGTCTATAGTCAGGGTCATTCATATCTATGAAAGAAGATGGCTTTTGCAATAAATTAGATGGACATTCATCCCTTTGGCTATTTTTTTCAGGAACTGTTTGAGGCAGGTCTTTTTCTTGCAGATCACCCTTTAATGAATTCTTTCGAATATTTTGGCAGGTTTCAACCTTATCTACATCAGAATTTTCACCCATTTTGTTCAGTTCATTCTCAGGTTGTGCAGACTCGGGGTTATCAAATGTGGCTGACTTTACAAAATTGCTCCACTGAAATGGTTGAAATGGAGAACCAGTCCTCCTTTTATCTAAGATTTGTGACACACGAGCTGAAAGTTTTGAAGCTTCATCCCCATCTTTTTCTCCAGCAGTATCTTTCATCTCTTCTGACGTATGCAACTCCAGATTTGAACTGAATATCAGCGAGTGTCTCAGTCTGGAACTCCTCTGGACAGGTCGGTTGGGTTTCCTTTTGAGGAACTCTTCACTTATCTGGTTAGTCTCTTTAGTTTCTCTATTCTGCGTCTCCTCCGCTTTGTCACCCTCAGTGGTGCAAGAAGACTCTGAAGTTGATGCTGGTGTTGTTTTGATATTTATTTGTGATAAATCAGATGGAGGATTAGCTAAACTGTCAGGCACAATAGAATCATTTTGAATTTGGACAAACGTGTGATTTTCTCTAGGTGAAGGTATCCTGTTAAACTCTCTATTTCCTGGTCTAATTTCAGCACGTACGGGGCCACAAGGAGCTTCCTGCGTAAAACATGGAATGTCATCACATGCAGTGGATCCTTCAAGTTCAGCTAAATCCAGCTCTCCTGCATCATCATTTGCACTGAGGTATGAGCTGATCCTCCAGTCCCGCAGGCCTTGCTTTTGACTCCCATCCTGTGGTTTGCGGTTTACATTGAGGAAACGTTTCTGTTCTGGCGGGTTTGGTTGTGTTGGGGAGGTCTGACATGTATAAGACTGTCCCATGCTATGTCTCTTGAGATTGGACTGCATATGTGGTAATACATTTCTTGGACCATGTCCTTCCTCCATAGCAGGTTGAGACTGCAGGTATCTTTGAATATGGTCATAAGCTCCAGGTGGTTCAGCCTCATCTCCCTCATGAGGGTAGACAGGCCCTGAAAACTGATCGATGTGTTGGCCTTGGCCTCTAAACCTTCCATACATGTCATAACCAGATTGTAATCCAGCTCCCTGGTAAATATGTGGTTCCCTTGCAAAGTGGCCGCCCTGCGGCATTGCTCCCTCCATGTACTGGTTTCCTCTCATTGTTGGATGGTTTTGAGGAGGCATGTATTCATAATCAGGTATATTTCCGTAGCTATGTCTTTTGAAGCCAACCATTTCATTTGGTCCACTCATTTGCCTTCCATGCTCTATAAATTGATGGTCCCCTCTATATTGCTGGGCAGCATGCAGGTTCATGTGCCTCTGAACTGAGGGATTTGCTTCTGGTGCACTGTGGATGGATTCACTCCTAAAGGGTAACATTTTGTAACCCAATTTCATATGATCTTCTGTAGTACGTCCAGCCCATTCCATGTCCATAGTTGGATATTGTCTGTTAAACATGTGGGCCTTTTCTGTGTTGTAGTCGCTTTCAGGTTCACCACCATAGTGTGGCATATTTGCCAAAACATTTTCAACAAACAGTGGCTCTGAATGGGCAAAGAGAATCCGAAACTCTTCATCAAAGGTGGTTACAAGCTGTCCCAGAAATAGATGAGCAAGACAGCGATGTATCTTCTCAAAAGACCACATGAAGCTGCAACACAAAGTGAGAAAATATATTAATCAACACATATTAAATGACTACACCAAAAACGCATATAAGGTATTTTTATGGTTTGCAAATAACTGTCAAAAGATAAAATGTACCTACCTATAGTTACCACTTAAAACAGCTCTGCAGTCTACCAGAATAAAGCGATCCATCATCTGACCTTTGAAGGTCTTTCCTGTTCTGCAGTAATAGGTACTACCGGACACGGTTCTTACCCGCATGAACTGCAAGTGAAAAGTATATAAATTAATTTGTGCTAATTTAAAACAACCAAATATTAAGTGTCTTTTAAAGTGTACCATCTAATGGTAAAAACAGTAAAGTCTTAATAATGCTCACATATATTGTTCATACAAAGTACTCAAAATAAGTATGCAACAGTACTTTCCTATTATTTCTATTATAGGAAATTATATTTATATAATTTTCATGATATTTCTGTTTCATTCAAAAATAATGCTAAGGCCATTTGTCACGATCCATTCCCTTCTCACCACCAGAGGTTGCCACACACGCCACTCAGACTTTCACCCTGGACTCCATTTCCCAAGATCCCCTCTGATTACACCCTCACCTGTTTCCAATAACCTGGACACTATAAAGGTTGCACTCACTCACATACAGGTGCTCGGTATTGATTATCCTAGCTGCCATACCAAGCGCTTCCTAGTATCCTGTTTCCTAGTCTTGTTTTTTTCTTTGCCTTGTTGTTTTGACCCTAGCCTGTTTATCTCGCCTCTGATCATTTGCTGCTTGCCTTTATTCTTTTTGAGTTGGACGTGCTACTTCGGCTGTGCGTCCTGCGTCATCAACCCAGACCTAAAGTTCGATTCAGTTCGATTTGTGAACCGGCTCAACTGGTTACTTTCTGAGAACCGACTCAAAAGAACGATTCGTTCAAGAACCTAACATCGTTATTATCTATTGCCTGTGTTGGATTATTCTCTTGCCTTGCCCTCTGGACACTGTTTGCTGGTGTATTGCCTTTGCCTGTCTGACTACGCTCTTTGTTTGAATAAAAGGCTGTAATTGGATCCGACCTTGCCTACACTACCCTCATTGTTACAGCCATTAATATATATGCTGATTTTGAGTAAATTCTATAAAGTAGTAAATCTATAAATCATTAGAAAATAGCTATAAAAAACTCTCTTAAGGACTACTCAACTTAAATATAGATAAACACCTATGAAAAGTAGAGATAAACACCTATGAAAAGTACCTACTTTTATTTCATCCAGATTCACCCTACAGTTGTTCACCATCCCAACAAAATGGTGAGCATTCAGTTCATCAAGAAGAACATAAACAGCCACACCACGTGTCGCTGCACCAAGGATATCAGCAAAGATGTCAACATCTGTAAACATATCCATCACCACAGCAATAACCTAGAACAAGAAATAAAAAATATATTACTCACAGAAAAACATTATGCATTGCATGACATGATATCAGAATGGGGGGGGTTGTGCTTGTGAAATGTCAACATTGCAGGATAACCATATATACAGTAAATGACAAAGAGGTCAATATCAGATGAAGAGTGGTGGAGGACAGGAAAGACTGTCTACTTTTATGTTTACTTAGACTTCGGTTTACCACATTGTCAACAATGATGGCCCAGTCTATTTTACATGTCTAGTTCATGAAAGAGACTGCCAAAGTAAAAGAAAAAGAAAAAAATCTGAAACTCAAACTGCCTCAACTGTGAATTCAGTCTAACAAAAGAACATTTTGGAGAAAAAAGAAAAAAAAAACAAGCCTGCAGAACTTTTACAATACAGAGGCATACTGTGAATGACATTACTCTAGGCAACAGTGCATGTAATTGTATGCCATCTCATGCCATCATTAATCACACCAACTATTATGATATTACATTACAGATCTTGTGTCAATTTGGCATAAAATCAGCATTTTTCATTTAGCACCTTTAGGCAAACTGAAACAAGAAACTTGTATTGTTTGCAGTTGAATTAACTGGAAGTTATAATGTCTAAATTTAAAGAAGTTAATTCAGTTGTGTTTGCCAATTAAACCAAAGTTCTAATTATATACTACAACCCTAATGAGTGCATAATAGCTGTCATTATGTCAAGTTTAGAATGAAAGGCCAGCTGTGAAACTAGTGTGACCAGTTTGCTGTACTAAGCTCTTACTGCTTGTGAAAACAGTACCAAAGTGGTTAAAATCACTGAGCAATAAGGGAAGACAGTCTGTTTTTACTGACTTCTGTCATGCACTAATAATATCTTATTCCTGCACTTGAACAGCATGCAAAACTCACTTGTTGTGCATTCTTGATCATTCTGCGGACTTGCTCCTTGATACTGGGCATCTCGGGGTCAGACGGGTTCACCAATGTAGTGACCTCAGTGGGTCCAACAAATCTGTATTGCTGTGGCCAGCCTAAGTCAAGGCTCGGAGCATCATGGTCTGAATGTACCGGCCAGTAAGTGTCAGAAGAGCCATCTACATCTTCAGCCATGTATCTCCTCTCTGGTTGGGCGGTGCGATGCGGAGCCTGCACCATGTGTTTGATATACTCAATCTCTGAACGGGATAAGAAATCAACTACATCTGCTTCCTGAAGAAACCCACAGTAGCCCTCCAAGTCAGCTTCAACCAGGGCATCAATCGCCAATCGGTATTCCTCACGGTAATGAGGGGGCAGGTAGTTGGGGTCCAGGGGATTGTCCCCGGCAGAGGAGCACTGGGAACGATGAGCCATATTTACACCTGCACCAATGCAGACAGAGTTAAGAGAATAATTAACACCAGAAAAATGGTAATGCACATTAATTCCACATGAGGGCAACCACTCTGTTTTCTTCCATAGTTACATTAAACATAAATCAAACATGTGGCTGGATTATTGTAAATGCACACATTTTGATATAAACAAACAAACAAACAAAAATATGCTGGATACATATAAAATTTGTTTAAATAAAAAAAAAAAGACTGCTCACATAAATGGAAACATATAAGAAGTCTTTGTTTCTTAGATTTTTTAAACATAACCCAATGTCTGTTTCAATGATGAACATTTTTTGAGTAATTAAATGCTATTTATTTATGTATAGTCATCCAGTGACATCCAAATCAATAAGAATCGATGTCACTAACTCAATAAATGTCGCAAAAACCCCGAAATTTTTTTTTATTTTTATTATATATTTAGAAATAACTGCTAAAATGGTCACAAACTTAAGAATCGATGTCACTAACTCAATAAATGTCGCAAAAACCCCGAAATCGAATGTGACATTCCTAAAACTACTAATAAAAGTAGGACAAGTCATAATATCATACTATGATTTCAATTCATTCATTTACACCTTTTTTATTATATATATTAGAAATAACTGCTAAAATGGTCACAAACTTATTTTGAATGCAGGCCTATTTATTATCAGTTATGGTGATTTATGGTCATTATGGTCTAGAAATTTTAGTCATAATTGTGTCCCCGTGTGTCTGAAGGGTTTAAATACTACATGGATACTAAAACAGAAGAAAAAAAATAAACGATCACGGAGTCCATTTCAAGTCTAAAAGACACCTTTAAGTAATTTTAGTTAACACATCAAGCAAAATTAACTCTGGACTTTCAAATTCTATTATAATATCAGCCAAATATTACTTGAAATATTACTTACACGAAAAGCACGAATCCTGCACGTTATCAATCAAAATTAATCTGAATGGTTCGAGTAAAGATCTCATCTGTTTCAACAACCTCTGGGGTGTGTCACAACAACAGAGAGACCACCATTTATGGGCTGAACTTTTCAAATTTTTCTCTTGTATTTATTTAAGTACAAATCATCGATTGATAACTTAATCACAGTCATGTTTTCTTTCTCATGAGAATCGACGCGACTCCGTAATTTGTAGTCGCGAATCGTGAAGCTCTCCAAGTTTAGAAAACTTAGGCTACTGCCAAGCAACAAAAAAAGTACAATTATGAACTACAATGACGTGGTAAAGTTTCCTCACATAGATTTAAAGTCGACTTACCAATCTAAAGTGCAGCTTTCCCTTAATTCTCTGTGTAAAACCCCTTCATCGATGCAAGACCGTCATGACGAACGACAGACGCAGTAACTTTCACTCCAGTGGAAGAAGAGGAAAACATCTCAGCCAACACAGACGCATACACGCACACACAGGCAAAACCTGTTTGTGTTCGTGAGCAAGACAAAAAGAATGATACAGTCCTACTCAAAACAAGCGTTTGTCCATCTTTTCAAAAGACAATTCACTTGCGTGAGTTTCTGAGAAGTTAAAAGGGTCATATGATGTTGCTAAAAAGAACATTATTTGGTGTAATGAAATGTGTTTATGCAGTTTAAGGTTCAAAAAACACATTATTTTCCACATACTGTACATTATTGTTTCTCCTCTATGCCCCGCCTTTCTGAAACGCGTCGATTTTTACAAAGCTCATCGGTCTGAAAAGCGAGGTGTGCTCTGATTGGCCAGCTATCCAGTGTGTTGTGATTGGCCAAATACCTCAAGCGTGTGACGGAAATCTTACACCCCTACCATACTGTTATGATGCCCTGTCAGGCCGGAGCGATGATTCAAAAACATGAAAACCCATTATAAACGAGGCATTCGTTGCATCCAGTGGGGACATAATTACGAATTATAATGACTTATACTGTCTTTTTACACGTTGCGTTGCATCGCGCCACGTAAACATAAAACCATGTCTGCATTTGCGATCGGAGAAATATGTGGGGGCGTGTTAGAACGAGCCGTTTTAGGTAGGCGTGGTTGACTCCTTTCTTTTATAAAGAATATTTCTTTGGATTTGAGACTTTAGTCTTTGCAACTTTACAGATCTTCTTTATGCACCAAGAGCTTGTAACACTCCAAAGAGAAAGGAAAAATTGAAATCGCATTATATGACTCCTTTAAGGACAGACAGATTTCATTCATGACACGATTGATTCCATAGCATTGATTTCCATACGAGTATTAGGGTATATGCAAAGTTAATAATTTTCAATCCTAGTCAGTCTTTAACACAAGATCCTGATAACAAAGACTTGATCTGGAGCTCAAATACACACAAATTGAAGAATATGTGTCGGCCGAACATACAGTCAGTCAGAGGTCACAGAAAACTTCCACCTGCAATAACACAGATCTTCAGACACTTATAAAAATACAAAACATATTATTAAAGTCATCAGTAATTAATTCATTTAATGCTTTTAATTTAATCCCTCTCAACTAATTCAATAGCAAACAATGCAATAGCTATACATTTTTATCTTACTGAAGAATTAATGCACAAATAATACCAATTAACAAGAATGTATTTGGACAAAGCCATAAAACTGTTATGAACATTCTATATGTTAAATATATTACCTGGATAACCAGTGATTGATTTTACTTTGTATATGACAAACATTTTATCTTAGTGTGTGCAATCGAAGTGCAGATAAAATAATGGGGTCAAATGAGCCTGAACTTGTTAGGCTGGAACAGAATAACTTCTGTTAAGACAGCAAGGTCAGAAAGAAAAATATATAGTCTATGTGAACAAAACTGAAATATGAAATGGGTAGTAACATTACAGTGCTATACATAGATAATAATATATCACTATGCATGTTATATATTTATATAAGGACACACATAATATGAACATGTCTGCTTGTACTTTAAATCATTGATCAGTATGCATGTTCCTTGAAATGCAATGTAAAATTCCCCTTCATGTTATACACGAAGAAGTAATTTAAGTTCACAGCGACTTGTGGGCAGGTATAGATTATGACAGAATTTTCAGTTTAAAGGAGGTGATCTGTGGAAGTCATGACTCGATTGGACTGACCACGTTTTTAAAACATACTACAATTGTGCAGTTTATCAAAACATACTACAAATGTTTCTTCATTTGGCTCAAACATCTGACTGGACATGTGCTGAATGTGCATTACGTTTTTGCTGGAAGCAAAATGCTCTAAAATAACATATACACAGCGCTATTGTTAACATCTTGTTTGCAGAGTTTCAGAATAAGGGTGTGACCTTTATGTGTATGCCAGCGTCACCATTAGCAACGGAGATGAAATCACATCATTTCTACGCCAGAAGGTCTTCTGTGTGGTTTATCTGGAAGAGAATAATCTTTGTGCGATTAGTTCCTGAAGAGGAATCACTTCTAACTTTACAGCCAATGCTTTGCCACTAAATGCTTGAACATTTTTCAAACCTCATTGTCATATTCACCTCTATTTTAAGTGTGCATTGTACAATTGTGTGGCAATTTATTTTGATTAAGATTAAAAAATGTAACACATACATTACAATTTAATTGTTTAAATTGCACTGATGTGCTAATATATATAGTTGACAGCTCCTCAAACAAAAACGGTTCCTTTAAATCTTAATCAGGCTTTGATTTATAGTCTTTACACAAATGCCTCAAATTCATATTTATCTGACAGTAACCGCTATTGAGCCAATGTTTGTAAAGCTTGCCTTCTATAATGCTATTGCATATGTATTTGTTTCCCTTCCAAATAAAACATGGCTATGGGAGGGCTACAGGATATGATGTCATTTCTCAAGTGCATGCCTGAACAATCCTGCATTGTTTCAACAGACACCGCCTAAAGCACATATTGCAAGCAGTGTTAAGGGTGAAGATGTACGTGAACTCATACCTAAAAACATTCCAAGTGCAGAAGTCACATGTTTTTACAGATATCACTTCGCAGCTAATCCGCATGTGTTTATACCTGTTATGCTCATCACAGATCTTTAATGCCCTATGAAATGTCTTGACAAGCACAGTGTTATCTGATAATCAATAGCCATTAGTTGAGTCACAGTCAATGCTACTTGCTGTTGCAAGTTAGAGGTAAGGAGTGTTAGAGGGAGGGTCGATCTTATCTTAAAGGGGTCATATGATGCGATTTCAATTTTTCCTTTCTCTTTAGAGTGTTACAAGCTCTTGGTGCATAAAGAAGATCTGTAAAGTTGCAAAGACTAAAGTCTCAAATCCAAAGAGATATTCTTTATGAAAGT